CGACTTCGCTGCTCGCTGTCGTCTAGACTACGCCACTAGTCTTGTTGCTGAGTCCGAGTCTGTCTGTCCTCCGTCCGTCGGGGGTGAGTGTGCTCTTAGCACGGATGTCCTTGAGGACAGGCAGGAGGAGTTCCATTGTTTTGCCGCTCCTTTGCCTCATCTCGTGTCCACGCTGATTGCCCCTGAGGGAGACCCAGATGCACCAGACATCCCGACTCCTCGATCGTACGCTGAGGCGATCGAGGGTCCCTACTCCTCTCAGTGGCAGTCAGCCATGGACGCAGAGATGGCTTCCTGGAAGTCCACAGGCACCTACGTCGACGAGGTTCCCCCACCTGGGGTGAACATCGTCAGTGGCATGTGGATTTTCAGGGTGAAGCGGCCGCCGGGTTCTCCGCCTGTCTTCAAGGCGCGTTACGTGGCTCGAGGCTTCAGTCAGTGGCAGGGAGTTGACTACTTTCAGACCTTCTCTCCCACCCCGAAGATGACCACTCTTCAGGTGCTGCTGCACATAGCCGCTTAGCGCGACTACGAGCTTCACTCTATTGACTTCAGCACAGCTTTCCTGCAGGGCAGCCTGCACGAGGAGATCTGGCTGCGCCGCCCACCTGGCTTCACTGGGTCGTTTCCTCCTGGCACCCAGTGGAGCCTCAGGCGGCCAGTCTACGGTCTCCGCCAGGCGCCCCGTGAGTGGCACGACACACTGAGGACTACACTTGCGGCTCTTGGGTTTGCTCCTTCTACAGCCGACCCGTCGCTGTTTCTGCGCACCGACACCTCTTTGCCGCCGTTCGACATCCTCGTGTACGTCGACGACTTGGTCTTTGCCACTGCTGACACTGCTGGACTCGCCCACGTGAAGTCCGAGCTGCAGAAGAGACACACGTGCACAGACCTGGGTGAACTGCGTAGCTACCTTGGCTTGTAGATCACCCGGGACAGAGCACAGCGCACCATTACCCTGACTTAGTCACACATGGTGCAGCAGGTCCTTCAGCGCTTCGACTTCACGTACTCCTCGCCTCAGGCCACTCCTCTGTCTACTCGCCACTCGCTCTCAGCTCTGCCTTCGGATGAGTCCGTAGAGCCGAGTGGCCTGTACCCAGAGCTTGTTGGCTGCCTCATGTACCTGATGACCTGTACACGACCTGACCTTGCATACCCTCTTAGCATCTTGGCACGCTATGTTGCTCCTGGGAGACACCGACCAGAGCACATGGCTGCAGCGAAGAGGGTGTTGCGCTACGTGTGCAGTACGTCGGGCATGGGGCTAGTGCTTGGAGGGCGACGTCGAGTGGTCCTCACAGGTCACGCTGACGCTTCTTGGGCTGACGACCAGCCGACACAGCGGTCGTCACAGGGTTACACCTTCAGCATTGGCTCCGGTTCTGTTTCGTGGCGGTCTACCCGCTCGTCTTCTCTTCTCACCTCCAGCTGTGAGGCTGAGATCTACGCGGGGGCCATGGCTGCACAGAAGCTACGCTGGCTCACCTAGCTGCTGACTGACCTAGGAGAGCCGCCTCGTTCTCCTCCAGTTCTGTACGTAGACAACAAGGCCATGCTGGCCTTGTCTCGGGAGCACAGACTGGAGCACAGAACGAAGCACATTGCTCTTCGCTACTTCCTGGCTCGTGAGCTGCAACAGCGTGGTCAGCTCCGCCTCACCTACGTGGCCTCTGAGGCCAGCACTGCTGATATCTTTACCAAGGCCCTTCCGCCTTGTGATCATCAGTGCTTTTGTGCTATGCTAGGTCTTGTGCCTACTTGGCCTCACTTGCTCACTTCTTGACCTTGTTTGTACTGTACTCTTTCTATACCTGCACTTGCTTGTTTACCTTTATATATATGATCTTGCATGTGAACTGGCCTTGTGGCCTTGCTCTTGTGCTCGGACTGTGTGGTGACGTTGTGATCCACCCTGAGCTTGCTTTGCTTTGCTTGACTGGTCTTGTGACCCCTTGTTCTCCCCCACTTTGCCTATGGGGGTGTGTCAGGCATATATGCTATAGTCTGTGTAGGCTATAGTGGGGCAGTTCATATGGGGTACAACACTTTAGGGTTTACTACTTGTACTCCTCATTCTGCTCAATGCATTCATTCCTCGTTTCTTATCAAGGACATGTGAGAAGACCCGTGACAGGCTGTAAGACAGGTGGCGCTGACAAAACACTTGACCACCATAATCGTTCCCAGTATAGCGACAAACAACTAGACTTAGATTAACCTAACCCAGCACTGGACAAACAACTCGACTTTAATTACGTTCATTAGTTCCAGCGTAGGACAAGTGATTTGACCTACACTGTGCATCCAAAAAATGGTGTAAGGGGATTGTTGCTTCGAAGGAACTTTTAGGCAAGTGTTCCGAGGCTTGTTCTGTTGGCGCATTAGTAATGCGCCAACAACGAATGTGTCCCGGGGTTCTTCCGCGCAGGGGAGCAACATCCGCACCATGCAATCAGCACAAATGCGCCTAGAAATTACACGGAAGGCCATCACGACCTAATTGATGTGGCCCGAATAACGCCTGCAGAACAAGGGCCTCGTTTTGTTGCCGCATCTGCAGTTTGGGCCTTCCGCACAAGCACTGCGGGATGGGCTTTCCTTAAAGGGGTCAACCCTCCCGCGGCCTCGGCGAAGTTTGTTGCTAACGACAAAGCAATTTTGCAAACAGCCCATGTTTTTTTCATTCACCATGCCCATTCTGCCCAAGATGCTAAAAAAAAATCATTCTGTCAAAGATAGCAAGTAGAAGTTAGAACAGAAAAGAGGGTTTGCACTAGCAGGCAGTTGAGTACATATAGGAAACCCTAATTTGGGCTATACTCGCTATAGAGTACCCACTGCAGGCTAGACAAATATCATATTCTGACACACCACCATAGTCAAAGTGGGGTATAATCAGCACAGCAAGTAGTTATAGAGCAGGTTCACAAGTACAAGCAAAGCTAGAGGCATTCACAAAGGGCAAGTGAGGAGGAGGAGGCGGGACTATGAGAGGAGAGGAGATAGGAGGCGATGGCTGAAGCTGCAGACATACGGGCAACAGGAGCGGCTGGCACAGCGGCTACCGGAGCAGCGCCCCGCACTACTTGGGTAACTGGCTCCGCAGCTAAGACGAGCGGCAGGAGCAACGGACCCACAGGCGATTGGCGCAGCAGGCTTGCCGGGCTACCGGAGCAGAGCCCCGGACTACTGGCGCTGCTGACGACACGACGGCTGCCTTCGCTCAACCCCCCCCAACTGTCCCACCCCCCTTTCACACACCCCCTACTGCACCCCTAGCTCCAATCCTGTGTCACCCCCCTAGCGCGACTCCCTCGGCTCCCACACACCCACCCCCCTCAGCGGCAGCTGCAGCAGTGGGAGAGAGAGGAGGAGGAGGAGCAAGGGATGACGCACACCCGCCAACCCCATACCCGCCACCCCCATACCCTCCCCCACGGCTGCACGCGCAGCAGAGAAACGACAAGGAAGGAAGGGGGGGGGGGGGGGGGGGGGGGGAGGCGGGGAAGAAGCCGCCCCGCAGCTGCACAAGGGCAAGGGGCGGCACGCGGGTCCACAGGACAGCGTGCGCGGGTCCACGGGGCAGCGCGCGCGGGTCCTCTGGGGCGACGCGCGGCTCGACGGAGCAGCGCGCGCGGGTCCCCTGGGGCGACGCGCGAGTCGACAGGGGCAGCGCGCGGGTCCCACGGGGCGGCGCGCTGGGCGACGGGGCAGCGCGCGGGTCCAAGGGGCAGCGCGCGGGTCCAGCGGGGCGGGGGGGGGGGGGGGGGGGGGAGGGGGGCGCGCGGGTCCCACGGGGCGACGCGTCGGGCGCGCGGCGGGAAGAAAAAACGCCGCGAGCCCTGAGCGGGCGGCAGGCAGAAAACGTCGCGCGCCCGGGGCGCGCGATAGGCAAGACAGCAGCGGAAGCATTAGGTGGGCCCATCCACAGGATCAACTAGGGAGGGTCGACCTGCTCTGATAGCATGCCAAAGATAGCAAGTAGAAGTTAGAACAGAAAAGATGGTTTGCACTAGTTGGCAGTTGAGCACATATAGGAAACCCTAATTTTGGTTATACTCGTTGTAGAGTACCCCACTGCAGGCTAGACAAATATCACATTCTAACACATTCCAACCACTCACAAACCTTCAGCCTTTGGGTTTACCTTTGCCTCTCGCTTTGTATATTTCTGTGGTGAGTTTACTCATCGCCAAATCTCTCAATAACGGGCGTCGAGACCTGCCCGTTATCGCTTGTGCGCCTGAGCGGTGCCTCCAGTTTGCCCGTGAGAAGCTTCGAAGTAAGGTCCGAGCATACCAGTTGTGATGTGTTCTCTAACCCATGGGCGCACAGCAAATGCTGCCAGGTTCGGTACACAATAACGAATAGGGAGGCTCGACGTGGGTTTAAGTTTTTTTGGCGCGTTCCTAGAATATTCGTCTTGAGGGCTCCGCACCCATAATGCGCCCACAGAACGATACGATATCAAGGCCGAGATTTCGTTGGGCTAGGGTTGGCCAGTGGTTTTGCGTCGCAAGTTATCCTGTCCAATTCCCTTTGTTAATCTCTAGAATTACAAAACAATTGTTTTTCTTACTACAACACAAAGTATAAATTTGCAGCTGCATTTTCCCAACTGTCTGGTAGCGTGGATGAGGTCCATAAGACAACACTACTACAATCCACCTACTGAGCTTACTTGACCAAGAATATATGCAACTACAGGAATTAGCCCCTCTGTATCCGTTTCACCTTCCATTCCGCCAACACTAGCTCCATGCACACTGCCAAGAGGAGCATGTGTTGTTGGCGGCACATCCACATGCGCTGCCCTCAATGCATTCTCCTCATTCTCCGTCTTCTCATAAACCCCAGAACCACTCAGTACCGTAAGGTCTGCATTAAAGGCACCTTCGCCGCCCGCCGCTGTGCGTTTCTCTGTGAGCCAGGCTGTCAGGTCGCGAACAGTGTCGATGTCCCTCAGGCGTGGCAGCGAATCCAGAGGCGCCACGTCAGCCACCCCGTTGGTGTGGAGTGCTGAGAGTGACTGCTGCAGCACCCTGTCCGTGCTCCACTCTATGCCCTGATGGGGCCCGGGGAAGGGAGAGAGGGGCAGGTTGCAGGCAGGCCAGTGACTCTTTGGCTGACAGGAACTGTGTGGGAGTGGACTGCAGTGACTGCTGCAGAACCCGGTCCGTGCTCCACTCTATGCCCTGATGGGGTCCGGGAAATGAGAGACAGGGGAGATAGGAGAGCGGGGAGGAGCCAGGATGTGAGGTCGTGTACTGTGTCGATGCTCCACAGGCGAGAGGGAGGCAGGTTAGTGGGGCCATGTCAGCCACTCCGTTGGTGTGGAGTGCTGAGAGTGACTGCTGCAACACCCTGTCCGTGCTCCACTCTATTCCCTGATGGGGTATGGTGGTGTGAGAGAAAGAGGGGGGGTGGGAGGATGGCGGGAGGAAGGAAAAGTGGCGGGGAGAGATTGGAGAGGGGGAGCAGGGTGAAGAACAAGGGAAGAGAGTGAGTGACAACTCCAGCACCTTAATTCTCGAGAATAACATGACACAAGCATCCTGACCGTGCCGCACTCTATGCCCTGGTGGTGCGTAGGGGGTGAAAGCAAAAGGGTAAGAGGGAGGATGGCAGGAGGAAGAGTGGTGAGGAGAGTTGGAGTGGGGAAGGAGGGGGAAGAACGAGAGAATGTGATCGAGAGGGATGCAGATGAGAGATCGGATACTGATACGCATATGCATGCATGTATGGAATGAGCACATGTTGCATTTACACTCATGGAATGTCACACCTCACATGCCGACATGCCCCGCATATATGGTGACATGCCCCATATACATGGTGACATGCCCCATATACATGGTGATAAGCCCCATATACATGGTGACATGCCCCATATACATGGATCAGGCAAGGCAGCAGTGTGGTGAGCCCACGGAGGCAGTACCCACCATCCAGGCACATGCACATAAGAGACAACACACCCTCTTGGTCGCGTTTCCCCCCCCACACACACACATGGGACGAGATGAGCACACTACATGTGATGGCATGCGTCTCTCACATACATGGAAGAGGCAAGGCAGCACTGCAGTGAGCCCAAGGAGGTAGTATCCGCCATCCAGGGCTGGGCCAAACACCACCTGCCAGGGAACCCAAAAGGCGCAATGAAACGAGAGAGTGATGAATAAAAGGATCCTGATCATCAAACACGCGCCTCTGTATTCCTTTCCTGCAAACCCATTTCTTCCATCTGCCACACACCCCACTTCCAGCACTGCATATTTGCTACCCCCCTGTCCTCCACTCACCGGATGGTGCCAGAGCGGCAAAAGAGCAGCAGCCATATTGGCACCATCCACATCAGGGATGTGTGATCCAGTCACGACCTTACTTCAGATAGTGTGCAAACAATTCCCCCACACCTCCTCTCACCCACTGATACCCTTTCATTCTTCTCCTCTGCGGAGATAACTACTACAACGGGAGCTAGACTACGGGCTAGGCACGGGTGCTCGTGTGATATCTGCGTTCGTTTGTTCCTTAGTCGTTTTCCTAGTGCTCACACTGCTTGCTAGTTCACAGGGCAAGTTGGCAAGAGTTTAACTAAAGAAATTTCATAACAATGGTACAAAGAAGTTGGCATGGCAAGACTGCATTCAGGTCGGTCGACTGCCAGCATAGCATGGTCGACCGCGTTCCAGCACAACTTGGTCGACCGCGTTCCAGCAAGACTTGGTCGACCGCGCTCTAGCAGTGCAAAGTCGACGGCGTGCCAACGCTGCAGGTCGACGTCGTGCCAGCGTTGCTCCCGCAGTATAGCATCGCATCAGCTTCGCAGGTGCTCGCAGATGATTGGCGTGCTGTGCCTCGTCACTTGCACAGCGTACACACCAAGTCGTCCTCGTGTTAACGACTGCACCTGATCCGTCACGTCGACCTCGGGATACCACCACCGAAGTCGGACTCGCCAACTTCGCCTGGACACCGTCGCACTCCTCCGCAGAACCTCGTCACCCAAGTAATCTGGTCGACCGGGCAACCACGTCGACCAGCTGCTCCTGTATGTGCCCGTCGACCTCCCAAGTCGACGACCACCCCAAGTCGACCTCACCAGGTCGACCACGCTCCTGGTCGACTAGCTCCACGTCGACCAGCACAGTTGTCAGTCGACCACCCAAGTCGGCTACCCGAAGTCGGCGTCACCAAGTTGACGCCCTGCTACTCGACACCCAGCTGCTCGGCGTCCTAAGTCGTGGTTGACGTCGGCCCCTCCTCCGTCGACCACCAGGTCACGCCTGGTCGACCAACCACCAAGTCGACCAGCAGGCCTAGTCGACCAACCACCAGATCGACCAGCAGTCCTGTCAGCCGACCACCCAAGTCGGCTGCCCCAAGTTGGCGTCACGAAGTCGACGCCCTCCGCAGGTCGACTTCCTAGGTCGACCTCCCTGAAGTCGGCGCCACCCTGAAGTCGGCGCCCGTGCAGGTCGAATTCCTCGTCAACCAACTCGCCCACTACTGCAAGTCGGCTGTTCCCCTCACACCCGACCACGAATTCGACTCCGCCCAAGCGAGGACGGGGCCAACACACAACTCCCGTTGACATCCTCTCCTCTCCTCCGCTTACCCGGTGGTGTCTGAGAGCAGAGAGCGCAGCAGCCATTCTAGAATGGAGACTTTTGAAACGTCTCAAAAGTCAGCAGCCATTCTGAAATGGAGCCATCCACATGTCAGAGATGTTTATTCCAATCACCAACTTACCTCTGCAGGCCAAATAGTGCCCACGCAATGCCCCCAAGACTCACCCACCAGTGCCATCCCTCCCCTCTCCTCCTCTCACCCGGTGGTGCCTGAGAGCAGAGAGCGCAGCAGCCACAGTGGCACCATCGACATCAGGGATATCTGATCCGATCACCACCACCTGGCACGAGCATGGGGGCAGAGAGATAAGCGGAGAACAGTGGAGAGAAGAGAGAGAGAGAGAGAGAGAGAGAGAGAGAGAGAGAGAGAGAGAGAGAGAGAGAGAGAGAGAGAGAGAGAGAGAGCAACAGCAGACCCACACGCATGATGCCATTACCTTGCATGTCTGTACACGTTTCACAATCAATGAAAGGGCCATTAGAGAGAGCAGCAGCAACAGTGGCACCATCCACATCAGGGATGTCTGTTCCGATCACCACCACCTGGCATGGATGGATGCGTGTGGGAGGCACGAGGCAGCAAGACGAGCAGCAAGCAGTGGGGAGGAGAGAGAGCAGCAGCAACAGTGGCACCATCGGCATCAGGGATGTCTGTTCCAATCACCACCACCTGTCATGGATGGAGCGTGGAAGGCAGGCAGGGAGACAAGTGGCATGCAACAGGGAGCAGGGAAAGCAGCAGCAACAATAGCGCCATCGACATCAGGGATGTGCGATTTGATCCAATCACCACCACCTGGCATGGTGGAGTGTGCGGGGCAGAGACATGAGTGGCACGCAATGGCGGGGAGAGAGGGAGCGGCAGTAGCAGTGGCACCATCCACATCAGGGATTTCTATTCAGATAACCACCCCCCCCACCATCTGGCATGGCGGAGTGTGTGAGGCAGAGGGACGAGGGACATGCAACGGGGAGGAGAGAGAGCAGCAGTGACAATAGAGCCATCCATATCAGAATTCCTGTTGCTGTTGCCATCCAGATCATCACTGCCTGCCATGAGAATCTCTCGCCAAAAGGGCGGCAGCATGGAAAGGTGAGGAGTGAAACTGTGGAAGCGACTTCTGTTCAGGTAAAAACCGCGAGGGTGATTTCTTGTCATTCCTTGTGTAAAGAGTGGAAAGCAGGGAAGACCGTGGAAAATTTGACTGAGCAGACTGATTTGCCGCTACTCGCAGAATTTGCAAAACTCATCCTGAGGCATTGACATGCATTACCCCCAAAGCTCACCCCACATCAACCCCGATATGCTCTCACCCGTTGGTACCCCAGGCCCAGCACCTGCTGGAAGGCGGCTTGCATGCGCGCCCCCACGTCTCCCCCCACCTGTATGGGGTTGCAAGGGATTAGGGTTTCAAGGTTTAGGGTTCGGGTTTAAGACGGTGGAAGGCTGCTTGCATGTGCACACCCACGTCTGCCCCCACCTGTATGGGGTGGAAATTTGGGTTAAGGTTCCAGGGTTTAGGGTTAGTTCATTTTTAGGGTGGTGGAAGGCTGCTTGCATGTGTGGCCCCACGCCTCCCCTCCCCCCACCTGCATGGATGGTGGCAGGGGAGCGATTGATGCATGCATGGAATGGACTATGGCATATGGGCGGCAGGCGTGCGTTGCATGTGAGAATGATGGTTGCAAAAGGTGTGAGCATGGGGTGTGAGCATGGGGTGTGAGCATGGGGTGTGAGCATGGGGTGTGAGCATGGGGTGTGAGCATGGGGTGTGAGCATGGGGTGTGAGAATGGGGTGTGAGAATGGGGTTTGAGAATGGGATGAGACTGCAGAGCTGAGGTAAGGTGAACATTTCACCTGAGGCACAAAGCGGAGGGAGGTGGAGGATGGCAGCACCTGCTGCATCCACCGTTTGATCTCGCCTTCATCCGACGGCTCAGAGAAGAAGATGAAGACATGCGTGGATGCGTGCCTGCCTGCCACACCACAACCATGGCTGATCAACAAGACTGTCATGTCACAGCCGTCTGTGTGTCGGAGTGATTCGGAGGCCACTGCCAACTATGAGGCGGGCAGGAAGGCAGGCAATGTCGCAGGATGGTCGCATTGCGCATGCCAGCTGTCACGTAAATGAGGCACATCGTCATCCTCGGACATGCTCCCGCCGCGACCATGCGAGGCTGAGCTAGAGGCCACGCTACAACAGCTAGTATCATAATAGCCACAGCCTGCGCCTCGCTATAGTCACGTACAGGTCGGGGCAGCGCGCGATATTGGTGACGACGTGCTCGCAGCACGCGCAGTAGAAGTCGCACGCCGCGTCCGCCCCCACGCCGGCCGCCAGGCGCGTCTTCACGCGCCCCGGCGCCGGCCGCTTCACGAATATCATCACCGCCTGCTGCGCGCCGAGCGGCTCCGTCGCTTCACTCCGCTCCGCTTGCGCTTCAATCGCACTCACTTTAGGGTCGCTCATTCTAGCGTCGCCCATACTACTGGCGTCGCACACTCCAGAGGCGCTAATTCGCTCAGGCTCGCTCTAAGAAAATCAGGAGATTGAAGCAATTGAGAGAACGACGGTGTCTTGATCCTAAAACAGCAATGGCGATTTCCTGGCTGCGGATGCAGCAGTCACGCGGTACGCGGCGAGAAGGATCGACATATGGACAGCTCAGCTGAGCTGACGTGTCAACAGATACGAAATACCAGGCGCCTTGGGATTGGCGGAAATTTTGAGCAGGCTGACTGGTCAACGGCCCAGAAGAAAATGGAAGGGAAAAGCAGTAGTTTACCGGCCTGGGGGGAGAAGGGCTGTTTGGGTGCGGCTCAGTGAGGTTCTTTGCGTTCTACAGCTGTCAAATATTGTTATCAAACGGTTCCCCTCTGACTCGCGAAAACACTTGGTTCGATCGCCAGTCTCGCGGTGTTCTCGAAGCAGCTCGTTCGCCAATGGGCTTCGAGTTTTTTCGTAGTTATCCAATGGGATCCTGGCTTTGGCGCGCAGACAACCAGACAACCAGATCTCCGCTGTGGCGCGCAGCAGCGGCGGAGGGAAATCCGCAGCTCAGCCAAAACAAATAGCCCTGCTGCTCCGTTTGCTAGCTTCTCCCGTTCAGAACACCAAGTACTTGACAGATTCACAGATTCCTTGTGTATTTTCGCCACGAAGTGCTTCGAGCATAGTTCACAACAACGTAGTTGGCGCATACTATCGCATACTGTCGCCTACGGTCGCTTACTGTCGGATACTACCCTCCATTCGCCATGAGCGAGGGCAGCGCAGCGACGGCCACGGCGACAGCGGCAGGCGTCAGCTTGAAGCAGCGCCGCACGGCGGCCGACGGATCTCAGCCGTCCGTCGCGCCGGACGCCGGCAACGCGATCAAAGATACCGACGCGTTGAAGGACAAGGCGAAGCCACGTGGCGCGTCGCCGCGCCGGCGGTCCGGCTGGCTCGTGCTGGTGCTCGTGGTTCTGGTGGCGGCAGCGGCGGGCGCGGGATATTATTTGTGGCGGGAATACAGCGAGTTTGTCGCGATTGACGACGACGAGGAGTTCGAGATCGAGCCGCCCGTCGAGAAGGTCGCGACGCGGTCCAACCCGCGGAAAGCCCAGTGGCAAGCCGATGTGAGTCGCTGCGTTCGTCGCAGGATGCGTCGCCGACGTTTGTCGCCAGTCGCGGATTGCGTCGCAAGGGTGGCGACAAGTGCCTGCGATCCGTTATTGTCAACCCATCCAATTCTCGTAGTGTCTGCGCCGGTTCTTGTTCCTCGTTTCTATATCCCCCAACTGTGCGTGATGCGTCACGCGTAGAGGATATACCACAGCTGAACCAATGCACGGCGCTTGAACCGCCTTAAAACCAACAGCGGCGCATCGCACCCACTCCAACCTCTCTCAGCCCCGCTGCTACTAACATTTCAGCTGAAATTAGGTTTCTCCTCACCGACTCCAGTCCTCCCCTTCTGGCTTCTCAACCTTTCCGTCCCCCCCCCTCCTCCTTGCCCCATCCGCTGCTTCCCATCTGCGCGCTTGCATGCCATGCCTCACGTGTTGCTTGTGACTGTATCAAGTACAACAGAAGCTGTGGAGCGCGGAGGAACTGGCCAAGTGCAACGGATCGCAGAAGGGCGTTCCACTGTTTACATGCCCATGCCCATGCCCTGCCCCCTCGCACGCCATGCCTCACTGTCTCCCTTGTGACTGCCTCGTTTATGGATGTCTCGTTTATAACAGAAGCTGTGGAGCGCGGAGGAACTGGCCAAGTATAACGGGTCGACGAAGGGCGTTCCGCTGCTGCTGGGCATTCTGGGGTGAGTGGCGCGCGGGGGGCATTCTGGGGTGAGAGGGGGGGGGGGGGAGCGGGTGAGTGGGCCGCTGCGCTGAATTGGTCAGAAGAATGCGTGGGCAGGGGACAGGAGAGGGTGACTGGGGCGTGCGTCATGCCCAATGGCCCATGCCCAATGGCCCATGCCCAATGGCCCATGCCCAATGGCCCATGCCCAATGGCCCATGCCCAATGGCCCATGCCCAATGGCCCATGCCCAATGGCCCATGCCCAATGGCCCATGCCCAATGGCCCATGCCCAATGGCCCATGCCCAATGGCCCATGCCCAATGGCCCATGCCCAATGGCCCATGCCCAATGGCTCATGCCCAATGGCCCATGCCCAATGGCCCATGCCCAATGGCCCATGCCCAATGGCCCATGCCCATTGGCCCATGCCCAATGGCCCATGCCCAATGGCCCATGCCCAATGGCCCATGCCCAATGGCCCATGTCCAATGGCCCATGCCCAATGGCCCATGCCCAATGGCCCATGCCCAATGCCCCATGCCCAATGGCCCATGCCCAATGGCCCATGCCCAGTGGCCCATGGCCAATGCCCCATGCCCAATGCCCCATGCCCAATGCCCCATGCCCAATGCCCCATGGCCAATGCCCAATGCCCCATGCCCAATGCCCCATGCCCAATGCCCCATGCCAAATGCTACATGCCCAATGCCCCATGCTCAATGCGCCATGGCCTGTGAGCCATGGCCTATGCGCAATGCACCATTCTTCATACCCCATACCCCATATACCATGGGCAGGGGTCACTAGGGCAAGGGGCAGAGGTCCGATTAGTGGCGCCTCAAGAACACACCCCAGACCCCATACCCCATAACCCAACCCATACCTCAAGGGCAGGAAGCACTACGGCAAGGGGCAGAGGTCCGTTCTGAGGCGCCTCAAATACCCACCCCACACCCTTCACCCGGCGCCCCAATCCTCTATCCAATGCCCCATACGTGCTGCAGGGACGTGTTTGACGTGACCAAGGGCAGGAAGCACTACGGCAAGGGGCAGGGTTACAACCACTTCGCTGGCAGGTCAGCGAAACCACACCTCGCACAGAGCTTTGAGTTGACTTAAAAGCAAACCGCACCTTGCACAGAGCATCCCGGAACAATCGTTCAGTGCATGCTGCTGCTGCTTCAGTGGCTCCTAGTTTTGATGCCGGATGGTTGTGCTTTCGAAACCAGCTCTGGCTTAAAATGCTGCATCCATAGGCGTGTCAGTGGCTGTGTTGTTTATCTTCTCTGCCATCATCCTTGTCATGTCCACTGCTTCTCCCATCCTCTTTATTCCTGCCCCTGTCCCCTTTCTATTTCCCTCTCTCAACCCGCTTCCCCGTGTGGCAACCTGCGTTCACGCCCTCTTTCTCTCTCCTCCGCGCCTCTGTCTCACACTTTCCCCCCTCTCTCTCTCCTCCGCGCCTCTGTCTCACACTTTCCCCCCTCTCTCTCTCTCCTCCGCGCCTCTGTCTCACACCTTCCCCCCTCTCTCTCTCCTCCGCGCCTCTGTCTCGCACTTTCCCCCCTCACTTGCACCTCCCCCGTCTCCCTCGTGTCTCTCCCCTTCCCACCAATCCCGTCTCACAGGGATGCCACAAGGGCATTTGTCTCAGGCAATTTTTCAGGTATGACTTTACCATACCATGCCATGACATACCATGCCATACCATACCATGACATGCCATACCAACCCATGCCATGCCATAGCTTACCACGCATGAATGGTAAGCCTGCTTCATATCAAATTCAAGCGTTTCTGTCTACTTTTGACCTTCAGCCATCCACCAGCACCACACATGGCACCACATGGCACCACATGGCACCACATGGCTCCTTCAAGGCTTTACTCCTCTCCCCCGCACCTTCCTCTCCCCATCTGTCCCCATCTGCCTTGTTCAGACCTTCTCCATTCCTTTTCCATCCCTTTCCCCCTCTTACCATCCCTTACTCTCCCATTCCCTCCTGTTTTAACACGCTCTCCATCCCTGTCCACTCCTTTCCATCCCTCTCCATCCCTCTCCATCCTGCAGGTGACGGCTTAACGGACGATCTGACGGGGCTGTCAGGCGAGCAGTGCATCGGCATCGCTGACTGGCGGGACTTCTACTTCAAAACCTACATGTGAGCTGCTTTAGTCTCAAACCTTCAGTGCGTTGCGTTGGTCTCAGCACCCCACTGTATGCGCTGGATGCGAGGAGAAAGCATGTGAGGGGCTGTCAGGCGAGCAGTGCATCGGCATCGCTGACTGGCGGGACTTGTACTTCAGAACATGTTTGACGCGTTGCTGAAGGAGGGCAAGCGGCTGAGAGACGTAGCCAAGGTGCTCAGCATTCACCCTTCAACCCTTCTCCTCCTTGCCCTTCCTTTCCTGTCTCTCTTTGCAGCCACGTGGGCAAGCTGGTGGGGCGGTTCTACGACGAGCAGGGCAAGCCAAGAGATTCTCTGGGCGAGTTTGACGAGCTTCTCAAGGAGGGCAAGCGGCTGAGGGACGTGGCCAAGGTGGCGGAGAAGAAATACCCTGGGTGCAACTCACGATGGGCTCAGAACGAGGGCGGCAAGGTGAGGCGCCTACCTCCCCGCGCATGTCTCCACACCTCCTTTTCCCCACTCATCGTTTTGAGACATCTCATCTCACCACCCCCAAGGTGGCGGAGAAGAAATACCCCGGGTGCAAACGCCCAAGGAGGTGGGGAAGAAATACCCCGGGTGCAACTCGCGCTGGGCGCAGAACGACGGCGGCAAGGTGAGGCGCGTCTCTCGTTGCACATCTCTCCCCACCTCCCATTTTCCGCTCATGGTTTGAGTCACCTCAGTGGCCAAAGTGGGTGGAGAAGAAACACCCTGGATGCAACTCGCGATGGGCGCAGAACGAGGGTGGCAAGTTGTGGCCTCTCTCTCTTCGCTTCTCCTCCCTGCCTTCTACTCCCACCCTGCGTTCCTGTCTTAACTTGTGAGGCGCCTCACAAGGCAAAGGCCTCAGAACGACTGTGGTAAGATGTAGCCCTGCGCCATCCGACTCCCACGTGTGGGCCAGTGGGGGCAGTAGGACGGGCGGGAGCAGCTCGCGTCGCGCTCTGACCTTCAGGAGTACAATGGGTGCCATCCTGACGCCACCAAGTGCGTGTCTTCAACTCCCCTTATCCTCCTTGCCCCGTTTTTTCCCGTCCTTGTATCCTTCTCTCCCAGGTGTGGTGTGACAGTGGGGTGCCCCGTAAGATCCCTCGAATCCCAGAGGCAGAAGGCGGGCCAGTGGGGGGCAGTGAGGACACGCGCTGTGCGTGCTTCACCAAGGACCAGCTCGCCTCGCGCTCTGACCTTCACGAGTACGATGGGTGCGACCCTGACGCCACCAAGTGTGTCTCCTCCCCTCCCGAAGACCCCAATGCTGCATCTCTAGGGGATGAGGGTGAGGAGGAGGAATGAAGGGAGTGAGGCAGCCGGGGGTTGGGTGGGGTGGGGAGTGGGGGTGCGGTTGCAGTGTGGGATGCAGGGAGATGGAGGGAAGGGGGGGACAGTGTGGGATGTAGGGAGGGGGGGGAAAGGGGGCTGGCAGTGGGGGGATGCATCCAGGAGCAGCTCGCCTTGTGTAGGGTTGGGATGACCCTGGTGTCACCGAGTGTGTCTCTTCCCCTCCTGAAGACCCCAATGCTGGGAGGATGGGAGCAAGGAGGATGAGGAATGAGGGGCAAGCAACGGAGAGCGAGGGCTGGTAGTGCTGCGGCTGAAGGAGTGGGGCGAGAGAGGGGCAAAGGCAGGATGGGCGGACAGAGAATGCCATAGTAGGATAGGGTGCGTGGCATGAGAATAGTTGCATGAGAGTAGTACCACTATGCTAGTTCATGTTTTGATACTTGCAATATTGAGGAGGCTGTACAGTTTAGGAGATGCTGTTAATGAGTATGGTGTATGCAGGGTGGGTATGCTGTAATGATTTGCCTTGTTATGCAGTAGAATGTAACCCGTCCCTGCGATAAACATTTGTTGACTGCACTCATGGCTGAGAAACCATTCAACCAGTGGCAAGCTTGCATACGCTTTGATACAAAAATCCCCTGAATATAAGACCCTAGGGTCTTATGTAAATCCCCTTGTAAAAAGGAAGGAAACAAAATATATTAGCCGGCGTGTTCTATTTTGGGGGGGGCTTATATCTGGAGGATTATGGTAACAAGATTCGTGTTCATACCAATACGGTACTCTGCATTGCCACTTGCAAAATTTGGAAATGCCTAGTCTAGCCCAAAATCAGTAGGATTTTGATAGAAAACGAGTTGCTGTGTGTAAAGGCATGTTGTTAAGCGACGGGATCAGCTGTACCAAAATTCGCTCAAGGGGTTTGGCTCATGCCCCCCATCTGCGCTACGGTATCTCTCTCTTCCCCCTTCTCCCCCTTCCCGGCCTCTCCCTCGCCTCCCTCCTTCCCACCACCAGCCATTTCCACCCACTGCACGCCACCCCCCATCGGACCTCCTACTGCTGCGTCACCTCCTCCCCGCCCACCCACCTGCTCAACCCTCGTAACAGATCTCACTTGCCTTTCTCCCTTTCCCCTGCACCTCTTGTACCACCCTCACTCCCTCCACCAGCCATTTCCAGCCGCTGTGCTGCTGCCACTCGCCGTCTAAACTCCACCTGTCGCTGCTTCACCTCCTCCTCGCGCACCTCCCCAGGTTCCAACGTTATACCGTCCCTCACCCCCTTTTCTCCCCCTCAACCACGCCTCCCGTGCCTCCCTCCCTACCCCCAACAGCCATTTCCAGCCGCTGTGCTGCTGCCACTCTCCGTCTGAACTCCTCCTGCTGCTGCTTCACCTCCTCCTCACCCACCCGTCTGCTCCAACCTTCTACCATCCCTCATGCCCCCTTCTCCCCCACGCCTGCACCTCCCAGGCCTCCCTCCCTCCCTGAACCAGCCATTTCCAGCCGCTGTGCTGCTGCCACTCTCTGTCTGAACTCCTCTTGCCGCTGCTTCACCTCCTCCTCACCTAGCCGCCTCACAGGAAGCCACTCTGGCCACTCCCACCGCCCTCCCGCCTTCACCCCTGCCTGCTCGCCCCGCTCCCCCACGCCCCGCTCCCCCACGCCCCGCTCCCCCACGCCCTGCTCCTTCCCTTGCAGTGCCCCTGCCTGGGCTCCAGCTGCTGCTGCTGCTGCTGCTGCTGCTGCTGCTGGTGACTGCGAGAGGTGGGCTGCAGTGGCTTCTGGTGGGGACGATGCTGTAGTGGCTGCACCTGTGTCTGCTGCCGCGTCTGCATGGGAGGCATGAGGATCGGCAGTGTGTTCAGCCACGCGGGCAGCCAGGAGCTGCTGAATGCGCCACTCCTTGAAACTTTCCATGGCTGCCCGGTGCCCTGCCCCGGCCAGGCCAAACATTACAGCTGCCCGGATGGCGATGTCTCGGCTGCCTGCAGGACAGAGAGGAGGGGAAACACATTAGAGAAGAGGAGAAGGCGTAAGAGAAAAGCATGGAGCTTCCTCCATGGAGGGAGCTTCCAACATGGAACATGGAGCTTCCTCTTAAGCACCATGTTCCATGTTGGAAGCTCCATGTTAAGCCCCTCTTCCTGCTGGAAGAGAGATGGACGTTCTTTTCTGTTATGTCCCTTTGCGTGGAACCTTTGTCTCCACGCGCCATCTTCTCTCTCGCCTCTGTCTCACCATTCCCTCACACCCCTCATCACACCTCTGCATCTCAACTCTGCATCTCATTGTTCCCTCCAACCTCTCCCTCACCTATCCCTCTCGCCTCTCGCCTCCCCCTCACCGCCCAAATCGTGCCCCAGCCAGAGCACCCCCTAGCAGCGCAATGGTGGGGTGGGTCGGATGTAGGTGGGGAAGGGAGAAGCGCACACCTCTCACCCTTCCAACCCTTCGCTTCCAAAAACCCCTCTCACCCCTCTCCCCCAAACCTCTTGCTCATACCTCTCGCCCTCACCTCACCTTCTCACCTCCCTCCCAACCAACCCCCTCCTCCCCTTCTCACCTCGCGGACGCCCAGACAAATCCCAGCCAGAGCGCTCCCCAGCAGCCCGTTGGTGGGGCCGGAGGCACGGGAGGGAGAAGCGCACCTCTCACACCCTTCCCAACCCACCGCCGTTTCTCTCCAATCCCTCTCTTACTCCTCTCCCACCCTCCCCCCCTCTCACCTCGCAGCCGCCCAAAGAGTGCCCCAGCGAGAGCGCCCCCCAGCAGCCTGTTGGGGGGTCGGAGGCCAGAGAGAATCGCACCTCTCACACCCTTCCCACCTTCCCCACCCTCCCACGCTCCTTCCCGTCTCTTCCCAACCCACCCTCTCTCACCTCGCAGCCGCCCAAAGAGAGCTCCAGCCAGAGCACCCCCCAGCAGCCCGTTGGTGGGGTCGGAGGCCAGAGAGAATCGCACCTCTCACACCCTTCCCAACAACCCAATCCTTGTCTTTCCAAACTCCCTCTTACCCCACCCCTCCCCACCCCTTTTCTCACCTCGCAGCCGCCCAAAGAGAGCTCCAGCCAGAGCGCCCCCCAGCAGCCCGTTGGTGGGGTCAGAGGCCAGAGAGTATCGCACCTCCCTCACTACCTCCTCCAGACCTGATGAAGGGTGGGGGGAGGGGTGGGGAGGGGGGCTCACGGGGGGAAGGGCGGGCAGGGGGCGGTCAGAGCGCCCCCCAGCAGCCCGTTGGTGTGGTCAGAGGCCAGAGAGAAGCGCACCTCCCTCACTGCCTCCTCCAGGCCTGAGGTTGGGAAACGGGTGAGGGGGAGGGGTGAAGCGGGTGGAGGGGCAGGAGGGAGGGCAAGGAGGGAGGGGGGGGGGGGGGGGGGGGAGGTGGGGAAAGGAGCAATCAGAGAGGCCAGAGAGAAGCGCACCTCCCTCACTGCCTCCTCCAGACCCGATGGGAAGACAGGGAGGTAGACAGACAGGGGGGCGGCAGGGGGAGCAGAGAGGTACGAGGAAGGGAGAGAGGAGGGGTCTATGGTAAGAGCGAGCCTCCCTCACTGCGTCTTCCCGACTTAAAGGTACATGAGAGAGAGCTAGACGGGTTGAGAGGTGGAGGGGAGGGAGTGGGGCCAGAGGTGGGGAGGGGGGGACTAAGAGGAGGGGTTGGAGGCCGAAGAGAGGCGCACGCGCACCTCCATCATCGCGTCCTCCACGTCTGAGGGGTGTGAGACAATTGATGAGTCGACTCAAAAGTCACCTCATTTTTGAGTCGACTCGAGATGCGCACGTCTGAGGGGTGTGAGAAGATCGATGAGAGGTGGAGGGGTGCAGTGGAGGTGAAGGAGGGAGCCTAAGGGGTGCAGTGGAGGTGAAGGAGGGAGCCTAAGGGGTGCTAAAGGAGGGGTCGGAGGCCAGCGAAAAACGCACCCCACTCACTAACAGCCTAAGGGAAACGGGATACTGCACCTAACAGCATAAGACCCATCAATTGCTACACACCACCTGACACACACATGCTACCTACCCCACACAAGAGACCCGCCCCACGCTACTTGTTCGCACATATCACCTGCCCCACACCCTACCTTAGACACACGCCCCGTACCTCCCCCGCACACTACCTGCCACACAGAAGGCTGCGATGCAGCAGTTGCTGGTGACGGCAACGATCGCTGCTGCTGGCGGTGCTGTCCCCACTGCTGCTGCCACCATGCCTCCCGCCATTCCCAACACAGCTGACAGGGAGGGATTGGGGGAAGAGGATTACGAGAAAGGGTTTATGAGACCAATCAAAAAGTCAGTGCTGCTCCTGGCGGGGTTTGCCCCCCCGTTGCTGCTGCCATGCCACCCATATATCCCAACTCAAGGCTTCTGCGGCGCCTATGAAGTCAGTGCCACCACTCCTCAAGCCATTCGCAGCACAGCCGATAAAGAGAGGGGTTGGGGAAAGCAAGAGGGTGGGATCTTGAGGCATTCCGAACAATAGCCAGTGATGCTGACGATGCTGCTGCTGCAGCCACTTTCCCCGCCATTCCCTGACATTCACCAGCACCCCCCCCCACTCCCATTAATACCCCTCGTGTTTCAACGATCCACCCCCCCTCAAACCAACGCACCAACGCGTGGCAGTTGGTCGACACCAGCGCACGTCCTGGGCGCACCAACGCACCCCCCGTGGCCGTGGCAGAAAGCACGCGCGCCTTCCACGCGCGAAATGGCTTTTAACTCAGCCGCCGTACCAGCACACTCGCCTGTCTCGCCAACGCACCTCCAGTGGCAGTGGTGGACAGCACGCGCACCTTCCACGCGCATCCCTCGCGGTACCCGAGGCGAGTGGGTTTTGAACAGCAACTTCGTACGCGCGCCTTCCACCTGTGAGCCGACTTACAGTCCAGTCAAGTGGCGCCTTTCACCAACGGATCTCCCCTTGACGCACCACGCACCTCCAGTGGCAGTGGTGGACAGTACGCGCGCCTTCCACGCGCGCCCCTCGCGGTACCCCTCGGGGCGACCGCTGCCCGCCATGCCGCGAGGACGCGATCCGCGGGGAGGAGCAGAACGCGCCGAGTGCTTAATGTCAATCACGTTCCGCGAATCGAGTGCGCAACGTCGCGGCGCGGGAGCGTTTTCTCCGTATCGCGAGAATCACAAGCCGCTCGACTCAACAGCGGCCACGCAGCAGCTGAGGCAATCCTAGCCGTACGTTGGAAGCCTTTAAGATGAGATTCTAGAGGAAGGATCCGAAACCCCTCATTGCGAGTCGCAATGAGGATGGCGATGCTCGCCAGGCGGCAATTCTCTGACGGCGAGCACGGGGACGCAATGCGGCTCGAATCCACGACGATCCCTGTGGGGACAGAATAATCGACGGATGATACAGGAAGCTCCGTTTTTGTGAAGGCTGATCAGGCTAACAGGCGATTACCTCGATAAATTTCCTAGTATTCGTCCCTCCACGAGTGAGAGTGGTGATCTCGAGGCTCGACACCGGGGTCATCCCCACCCTGGGTCGGATTCCTGAATTCAAAGGTCGACCTACCAGGAAGTTTTGAACCGTCTCATTTCAAGGATCATTTTGGGCGCTAGAAGTTTCCTCAGTTGACGACAGCGGGACCGAGTTTAGCGATTTTTTGTTGCAGAAGTAACTGGGAACACCTCCCCTGAGTTGCCTGTGGCGAGAAATGAACTGCAAGAAGTCGCGGAGTTACGCCGGGTCCGCCAGCTTGTGCTCGCAATACGTTTCTCAGTATCCTACTGGGTCCTGGCTTCGGCACGGAACGAGCTAAGTGAAAATACGCTCTTTAGTAGCGTCTTTTGGGCTTCGCATCATTACCGTTTTCAACCACTTACACTACGAGTATTTCCTGGTTCAAATCAGACGAAACGCTCTACTAGGCGGCAAACGACTTGTTTGGAGGCGAAGCAGCCATTTTTTGTTTTAGAGAATTATCCGTCGTGCCCGCGTCTACCGCGTCTGACGCAGCCATTTCTTCCGCCTGACCGTTTCGCTGCCCGCACGCCCCTCCGCGCTTACAGCTTCCGCGAGCCGCCGTCTTTCTGCCCGCTTCGCCTTTTCGCGCCATGGCTCCGGTGAGTCGCGCTTCGCCGCTTGCTCGCTTGCATGGGCTCCCTTCCCCCGCCATACCTCCGCCATTCCGCCGCCGCCCCGCCTCTACCTTCTTCCGCCATCCCTCCGCGATTTCATATCCGCACACTCTCGCTCTCGCGCGTCCTCTCCGCGCCTTCATCCCGCCTATCACAGGAAAGCGCCCCCCGCCTCACCTCAGAGGGTGCAGCGGCAGGAGCGGTTTTATCATCCCCTTCATCCCCTCCGCACTTCCCCACTCTCCCCTCACCTTCCCCCACCTCATTGGCCCTTGTTTCCCAAGCGTGCTGTATCTATTGTTCCCACACCCACACACCCACCCTCCCCCTTTCTGAACGCTTGGGAGGCACGGCAGTGGGTGTGGGATGATTGGGGCGGCTGCAATCCCGCGCTAACCTCTTGGCCCTTTCGCCCCCCTCCTTTCGCCCCCCTCCTTTCGCCCCCCTCCTTTCGCCCCCCTCCTTTCGCCCCCCTCCTTTCGCCCCCCTCCTTTCGCCCCCTTCCTTTCGCCCCCCTCCTTTCGCCCCCCTCCTTTCGCCCCCCTCCTTTCGCCCCCCTCCTTTTGCCCTCCTCTCCCCCTTCTCTCCCACTTCCTCCGTCCCAGCCCATCTCCCCCAAGTGGCTGCCCATGTATTGGTGGCTTGCGTCCCTCCCCCCAAGCACACGGAATCTTGCCCCATGGGAGGTGCGGCAGTGGGTGCAGCAGGAGTGGGGGCAGCTGCAATTCCACTCCATCCCCCCACACTCTCCCTTTCCCCTCCCCTCCTTCCTCACACATTTCATTTTTCACCCCCACCCCTCCCCTCCCTCCCGCTACACTCTCCCTTTATCCCCCCTTCCCGCTTTGCAACCCCCAGCCAATCTCCCCCAAGTGGCTGCCCATGTATCGGTGGCTTGCCTCCCTTCCCCCAACCACACCCACCCTTGCCGCATGGGAGGTGCGGCAGTGGGTGCAGCAGGAGTGGGGGCGATTACCCCTAGAGCTCAGACGCACTCCCATGCAGCGTATAGTGCAGTACACTGTTACCGCTTTCCACCGCATTAAACACCAGGGGGGGCTGGGGGTTGTGGGTGAGGGGATGGTGCAAGGAGAGGGGTCGGTGGGGGGAGAGGAGGGGGAGGAGGATGTGGTGGGAGATGGTGATGGGATGGGGAGGGAGGCAGGGAGGGGGAGAGATGGAGGGAGGAGGGACAGAGGGAGTGGGGGAGACAGAGGGATGGGGAGAAGGGCAGAGAGGAGAAGAGGAGCAGGGGTTGGAGCCGAGGGTGTGGACTATGATGAGTGTCGGAGCAGTGGGGAGAGAGGAGATGGGGAGGAGGGGGACGAGGAGGGGGACGAGGATGGGGAAGGAGAGGAGGTGGGAGAAGAGCGGAGGGGAGGAGAGGGAGACGCTGGGAGGCGCAGGAGGCGGGGAGGAAGAATGGCGACATACACAGAGGTGAGATGAGGTGGGGTGGGGTGAAGTGAGGTGAGGTTGTGTGAGGTGACTCACCTTGATTGCATCCTCACTGCACCCTCACTGCAACCTCACCGCACCCTCACACCCGAGCTTGCAGCCTGTCTGCATATGTTCCCTCGGTGAGCCCGAAACATATATTAATGTGAAAGTTGCGGTAAAGATGTGACGGTTTGGCCGAGTGGTCTAAGGCGCTGGATTTAGGCTCCAGTCTTGAAAAAGGCGTGGGTTCAAATCCCACAGCCGTCACTAACAGTTGAATTCAAAGGTTTACATTTTGGTCTCCCTATCCTCTTTTTTACTCTCACTCTCCGCTCCCCCTCTTCTTGCCTTTCCGAGAGTCAGTTCGCCAAACAATTACCTTTCTGTGCGATGAGCTTCAGAACAAAAGTACAGACAATCCTGCAATGGCACCTGTAATGTTTTTGTCAGCCTGTTCAAATTACCTCCCGCTTTCCCCCTATCTCCGCTATTTTCCCGTCTCCCTTTTCTCCCCGTCCTCCCTATCTCCCCCATACCCCCCTCTGTCTTCCAGCATCCCATGAAAAAGCAGAGGGCAGTGGAAGCAGCGGTGGGAGGGGAGGCAGCAGAGGCAAAGGAGGTGGGGCGCTTGGTGCAGCAGCAGCACTGCGCTCTCGTGAACCACTTCAACAGGTGGGTAGGGCGCACTTGAGTCGTCCGAAAGATAGAGGATTCACTGCCGTCATTTGGAGGCACATGCGTGTGTGGGCGTGGGCGTGGTGGTGAGGGCCTTTGAGACATCTCAGAAATTGCTTCAACAGGTAGGTAGGGCGCACTTGAGTCGTCCGAAAGATAAGGCATTCACTGCCGTCGTTTGGAGGCACATGCGTGGGCGCGGTGGTGGGGGGAGGGGAAGCAGCAGAGGCGCAGTGCAGGAGGTGGGGCGGTTGGTGCAGCAGCAGCACTGCGCTCTCGTGAACCACTTCAGCAGGTGCGCGAAGTGTATCTGAGACGTGTGATACATGAAGCATTCGCTGTTGTTGGCTGGAGGCACATGCGTAGGAGCAACGGTGGAAGGGAAGGCAGCTGACACACAGGAGGTGGGGCACTTGGTGCAGCAGCAGCACTGTGCTCTCGTGAAACACTTCAACGGGTGTGCTGCGAGAGACATGCGATAGAGCCTTCACTGTTGTTGATCGGCCAATCTCGGAGTTGCTTCTGAGATTTCTCAGAAGCTACTTCAACAGGTGGGCTGCGTGAAACATCTGATGGAGCCTTCACTGTTGTTGATCAGCCAATTCTCTTAAACCTCCGCCCATGCCATCTCTCGTCTCCTCCTTCCTCCCTCCCCTGCGCGCCCGTCCTTTCCTCCAAGCTGCATGGCACACTGCAGCGTCGTGTGGCTACAGGGTGGCAGTGGGGCGGGATGACTTTTGAGTCGACTCAAAAGTCACCTCGTTACAATGTCACATGACACATCTTCTTCCCTCCAAGCCGAATGGCACACTGCAGCGTTGTGTGGCTACAGGGTGGCAGTGGGGCGGGCTGGGTGATGGGGTCGGGGGCCGAGAGATGGAACACAGTGATTTCTCCTCTATCCAGCTGTGCCCATTTTCTCCTCTCACGTTCCCTCCCGGATCCCCTTTCCTCACACTTGCCGTACCCCTCCCCTCCCAGCCTCGTGTTGATACAGCGCCACCTGCTGCTTTTGAGTCGACTCAAAAGCTGCTGCAGCGCCACCTGCTGCTTTTGAGTCGACTCAAAAGCTGCTGCAGCGCCACCTGCTGCTTTTGAGTCGACTCAAAAGCTGCTGCAGCGCCACCTGCTGCTTTTGAGTCGACTCAAAAGCTGCTGCAGCGCCACCTGCTGCTGCTGCAGGGATGCAACGGGAGGGAGGAGAAGGGACGAGGGGGACAGAGAAGGGCTGTAATGAGTTCTCTCTATCCCAATATCCCGACTTACCTACTCACATTTCGTTCCTTATTCCATTTTCCTGCCAGCTTTGCGTTGCTGCAGCGACACCTGCTGCTGTTGCAGGGAGGCAGCAGAGAGAGAAAGGACGATGGGCATAGAAAAAGACAGCAGTGATTCCTCTTCTCACATTCCGCCCCTTGATTCCCTTCCCTCACTTTTTTTTGGGCCCTTCCCTGCCAGCCTCGTATTGCTGCAGCACCACCTGTTGCTGCTGCAGGAATGCAGCGTGGAGAGAACAGACAGCAAGAGGCTGGGTCAAGGGTATAGGGGCCGGGAGGAGGGTAAGGGGAAGAGGGAGGAAGAGGGCAGAGGGGAGGAGCAGCAAGAGGGTAAGGGGAGCGAGGAGCAGCAGAGTGTGGGGCAGGGGGGGCAAGAGGGTAAGGGACAGGAGGACCAGAATGGAGAAGGGAAGAGGGGTGGTGAGGGAGGGGATTGTGAGAAGCAGACAAGTGCTGTGAGACGCCACGAGTTCGTCCCCCCATGGAAGCCCCCTTTCGCCCCCCGCCACTGCTCTCAGAGAGATGAAGGGCGCGAGGCGGGGAGGCACAGGGTGGGGAGGAGGCAGGGAGAGAGACAGGGGCCAGAGTCCAGAATGGAGAGGAGCGGGGAGATTCATGAGTCAAGTCAGGAACGGGTTGTGGGGACGAGCTATCCCCAACAAGAAGGGGCTGAGGGGCGTGGAGCGGGTCGGAGGCAGGGAGAGGGAGGAGTTGAGAGGTGTGGGGTGGGGCGGAGGCAGGGAGAGGGGGAGGGGCCAGAGGCACCGTTAAAGGCATGGGTGGTGTGCAGTGTTGACTATCACCGGTGTGACTTTAAGGGGGGGAGGAGCAGCGATGGAGGTTCCAGGGAGGTGTGTGGGGGTGGAGGGAGAGGCAGGCGAGGAGGTGGGGAGATGGCTGGGGGCAACTTGGGAGGGCAGGAAGGTACAATGGAGGGGTGTGAAAAGGAAGCAGCGTTGGGTGAGGACGAGAATGAGGAGGAGGTGAAGCAGGGAAGGAGGGAGGGGATACGGAATGGAGGGACAGAGCATGCAGGGGAACGTATGGGCAGCAGCGCAGTAGGGGGCATGGGGAGGGGTGTGGGGGATGGGGGTGTGAGTGCGGCAGTGAGGGCGAGGGAGTGTGGGCGGGGGTACAGGAGACTGGCTGGGTGGGGGGAGAGCGGAGGGGCGGAAAGCAGAGGGAGATGGATGCGAGCTAAGAGCGCCCAGGGCTACTCGTCTGTTTGGACAGGTGGGATCAGGCAGGGTGGGGTAGGGCAGGGTGGGATATGGCAGGGTGGGTGGGGTAGGGCAGGGTGGGGCTGGGTGGGGTGGGGTTGGTGTGGAGTAGAATGTGTGTGGGGTATGGTGGTTGGGATAGGGTGGGTGGGGCATGGAGGGTTGGGAATGGTGGGCCTGCCATTGTAAGGCATGGAAGGATGATTGAACACATAAAGTGTACGTGCTTTTATGCTTCTGAAATATCCCAACAGTCAGTACCTAATTTGCGAGGATTGTGGTGCTGTGGGGTGCGTTGCTGTGCTGTGCGGTACTGGACTGATTATGGCAGGATGGGGATCACTGGACAACCCACGTAGAGGCCTGGGTTCGGTCCTCTGCCAATCACGTGGTGACACGTGGCGGCCTACCTGGGCCAGCTACACCTCCCATGCTGCTGACGCGCCCACCACTAACATCAGCGATGTGAGATGATGGGGTGATGGTGGGACAGTGGGATGATAGGCTGTGGTGGGATGGTGGCATGGTCCCATGCTGCTGATGCATGCACCCACCACCAACATCAGCGATGTGACATGATGGGGAGATGGTGGGGTGGTGGGATGTTGAGGTGGTGGGATGGTGTGATGGTGGGATAGTGGGATTGCATGTGAGAGGAGCATTTGAAAATTGAAACCACTGCGATTATTCCAGTCCCCTATCACACACATACCATTTCCACATCAGCACATTTAGTCTCGTTGCCATGCCATGTGGACCCACATCACATCCACATCGCATCACATCACACATCACGTCACATCACATCACATCACATCACATCACATCACATCACATCACATCACATCACATCACATCACATCACATCACATCACATCACATCACATCAGGTCACGTCACGTCACATCACATCACATCACATCACGTCACGTCACATCACATCACATCACATCACATCACATCCACTCCCCATCCTGCATCATGTTACCTTGGAAAGTTCCAAAGATCCACACCAGCATGTGTCGTCCTATCTACAGTCCACTCTCCCTCACAGCCTGCACTGTGGTCTGTGGTGTGATGTGGTATGGTGTGATTGTGGAATTGTATGTTGTGTAACACGTCATCATGTCATCTCTTACACGTCATCATCCATGCATGCTGTTGGTCGCCAGCTGGCAGTGCAGAAGGTATTGGATGTGCGCTTCCATCCGAGGGGCCAGCCTCAGCTTGTCATTGGCTGCAACGAGGTGAGCGGTGACTTTTGAGGCGCCTCAAAGGTGCGCCTGACATGACAGTTGCTTGCAACAAACATGACGACTTGTTGACTTCGGAGAGTCGACTCGAAATTCAACTCGGTTCCACCCCAGGGGCAGGCCTCATCTGGTCACTGGGGCAGGCCTCATTGCTGCAATGAGGTGCGTGTGCGCCTCTCATGACGGTTGCTTGCAATAATCATCACACTTTGTCGACTTTTGAGTCGACTGGAAAGTGAACTCGCTCCATACCAGGCCAGCCTCAGCTTGTCTTGTCATTGGCTGCAATGAGGTGCGCCTTTCCTCGCGTTCCCTCCCTTTCATCGCATTCTCCTTTGTGTAAGGAACAGGTGCAATATCCTCTCATTCTCCTTCCTTCTCTCCTCTTCCTCACCTTTCTTCTCTTTGCCAGCAATAACAATTGCCCTTCGAGACATAATTCTTTTGCGCTTGCGACCGTAAGCAAATACCCTCACACATACGATCACCATGACCTTCTCTAATAACCCTTCTGCCCCCTGCCCCACCATCCCACCAGGCCCCGAACGAGTTGCTCCTCTTCGACCTCTCCTCCGGCTCCCACCGCCCCCTACAAGGCCACGCCTGTCAGGTGTGTACCTAACCCCACCAAGCGCACGCCTGTTTTGTGTGCCGGTGTTTCATCACCTTCTCCCCCCACGAACCCTCACTGGTATCCCCTATCCGCCCCACCTCATATTCCTTGGGGCGCCGTCCCAATGCATACCACCGCATCACATCACCTCACAGCACCACACAGTGCCCCACAAACCACACCACAACACACCACGCCGCACCATTCCACACTATCCACCCCACCCCAACCCATCCCTCCCCACCGCATCACACCACGGCATCAGATCCAGGCGGTGGAGTGTGCCATGGATGATCACGCCATCATCTTCCCCATTGCTCTCTTGCCATGTATCGTCACTGCCATCACCATGCACCCCACCCACCCCACCCCACCCCACCCCACCGTATCACCCCACCCACCCCACCCCACTACTCCACACCACATCACACCATGTCATCAAATCCAGGCGGTGGGGTATGCCATGCATGGTGACAACATTCCATCCCCCATCCTTCCCTCCCCCATTTCCCTTCCCGTGTGCCCCATCCCCATCACATCACATCCCCACCCCTCCCCACCCCTACCCACCCCACCCCACCGAATTACACCAAGGCAGATCCAGGCGGTGGAGTACGCCATGGATGGTGACGTCATCCTCTCCTGTGGGGGCTGTACACTCAAGGTGAGAGAGGACTTGCCTTTTAATGCCATGCACTGCCATGCCATGCCCTGCCATGCCCTTGCCATGTCATTGCCATGCCCTGCCATGCCCTTGCCATGCCCTTGCCATGCCCTTGCCATGCCCTTGCCATGCCCTGCCATGCCCTTGCCATGCCCTTGCCATGCCCTTGCCATGCCCTTGCCATGCCCTGCCATGCCCTTGCCATGCCCTTACCATGCCCTGCCATGCCCTGCCATGCACTTGCCATGCCCTTGCCATGCCCTGCCATGCCCTTGCCATGCCCTTACCATGCCCTGCCATGCCCTGCCATGCACTTGCCATGCCCTTGCCATGCCCTGCCATGCCCTTGCCATGCCCTTGCCATGCCCTTGCCATGCCCTTGCCATGCCCTTGCCATGCCCTTGCCATGCCCTTGCCATGCCCTTGCCATGCCCTTGCCATGCCCTGCCATGCCCTTGCCATGCCCTTGCCATGCCCTGCCATGCCCTGCCATGCCCTTGCCATGCCCTTGCCATGCCCTTGCCATGCACTTGCCATGCCCTTGCCATGCCCTTGCCATGCCCTTGCCATGCCCTGCCATGCCCTTGCCATGCCCTTGCCATGCCCTTGCCATGCCCTTGCCATGCCCTGCCATGCCCTTGCCATGCCCTTACCATGCCCTGCCATGCCCTGCCATGCACTTGCCATGCCCTTGCCATGCCCTGCCATGCCCTTGCCATGCCCTTACCATGCCCTGCCATGCCCTGCCATGCACTTGCCATGCCCTTGCCATGCCCTGCCATGCCCTTGCCATGCCCTTGCCATGCCCTTGCCATGCCCTTGCCATGCCCTTGCCATGCCCTTGCCATGCCCTTGCCATGCCCTTGCCATGCCCTTGCCATGCCCTGCCATGCCCTTGCCATGCCCTTGCCATGCCCTGCCATGCCCTTGCCATGCCCTTGCCATGCCCTTGCCATGCACTTGCCATGCCCTTGCCATGCCCTTGCCATGCCCTTGCCATGCCCTTGCCATGCCCTTGCCATGCCCTTGCCATGGTGGCTGGCTTGACATGACAGCATACTTGAAACAGTTTAGTTTCGGTCCGTCCATACCCACGAGTGTACTCGTGGCGAGGTTTCAGGCATCCCACGCTTGCCCTGCATTCAAGCCCGGGCTTGACTTTTGAGACGTGTCAAAAGGCATTTAACTCTTTCTCTGCATTCAAGCCCATCCATGCAGGCTACAAGCCTACCGTCAATCAACCGCATTTCCGATCCACCTGCTGTGGCAACCATTCCCTTCAGGTGTGGGACTCCACGTCAGCATTGCTGCTGCACTCGTGTGGGCCGGGAGTTGCTGCCACCGCCACCGCCACTGCCAGTGGGAACCCGTCAATTGCGTGTCATCGCGACAAGATCTGTGCTCTTGCCGTTAACCAGAAGATGTCATGTGAGTCATGTGTGCATCTTGTCATGTGAGTCATGTGTGCATCTTGTGATGTGAGTCATGTGTGCATCTTGTCATGTGAGTCATATGAGCATCTTGTCATGTGAGTCATGTGTGCATCTTGTCATGTGAGTCATGTGTGCATCTTGTGATGTGAGTCATGTGTGCATCTTGTCATGTGAGTCATGTGTGCATCTTGTCATGTGAGTCATGTGTGCGTCTTGTCATGTGAGTCATGTGTGCATCTTGTCATGTGAGTCATGTGTGCATCTTGTCATGTGGGTCATGTATGCATCTTGTCATATCAACAGAGGCATTTGCAGCGGCAGTGGCAGAGGTAGTGGCCACAGCACTGCCAGTGCAAACCTGCCGATTGCGTGTCATCGTGACAAGGTCTGTGCTCTCTTGCCGTTAACCATCGGCTTTCCCGTGAGTCAGAGCAGTCACCAAGGGGGCAACGAGAAAGCTGACATAAAAAAGGGATGACAAAATGAGGAGCGGATGGCAGATGGGGTGTGATGATTAAGGGAGCAAAGAGGGGTAGGGAAAGCTGTTTGATGGGGTGTGATGTGCGCTCAGCCAAGCCCCTCGCCACCACCCCACCCTGTCACTACTTTGCTTCCCACCCTGCACCACACATCAGACCTAGCAGCCACCAGTGGTGCCAGTGGGGACCCGCGGGTCATCCTGTGGGACGTGCGTGTAGCCAAGCCCCTCGCCCACCTCTCCCCCTCCTTCACTCTGCCGCCCAGGTGCTGTGCCGCCCAGTACTGTTCCGCCCATGTATTGTGTTGCGCGTGCCCATGTTTGAGAATTCTCAATAGTGATTGAAGCTTGCAAGCCAGCCATACCTTGATTGGCATGAGCTCTTACCGGTGGTGCCATACCAGCTGTTTCAAGCACAAACGACCAGTTTTTTTCGTCTGATCATCTGATAGATACATGCCAGATCAGATGATTATTGAATCATTCCATGGAATCACATTCTCTTCTTAGTCTTAGCCCATGTTGTGCCAACACATTACAGTGGCACGGTCATCGCACTCCCATTCGGCCTACAAGTCTGCTCAGCTTCTGGAATTTTGTGGGGAGGTTGTTCAACATGTGTTCCTCAAACCCTCAAAGTTTCAGAGTTTTTAAAGCAGTTACCAAGGCATGACAACATTTTATGTTTCAAGACTTATGGCATCCGGGAAGTGTGTGTTACTCCTTTTTGGTAACACCCGAGTTCACTATTTCGGCTGGTGACTCGTCTACCGAGCTTTGATTGGTCTGAAATTCGGTGTGGCAGTCCTTTGCCCCGCTGTGCAGGTGGTCACCAAGTTTCAGAACGATCCAACATCTGAGCATTACGTGACAGCTGCCGAAATTCACTGTTCCGTAGTCATGGTGCACTGTTGGCAGCATTTCCCTTGCCACCCTTTCATTGTTGTCATGCCAATGGTGCAGGGATAGAGAATGAGACAAGAAGTACAGGTGGTCAAGTGGGACTCTACAGCTCTCCTTTTGAGAAGTGTGG